CCTACTGAACACACTCAACAGAAATGTGACTATGAACCTGAATTAGAAGCAAGTATAAAAAAATGGGCTTGTAGGTTTAAGTAGCAGGAGTTTGGGTAGATCAAATTTCTGTGAGATCTGGTTTGAGCACTTTGGAAGTAATTGAAATATACATGTTTGCAAAGTGCTCCACTCTATCTGGTCCCTTGACTGTGGATGAACTCTCCATTATGTGACTATTTATGTCCCAGGATTCATACTAATTGTCTTGTTAACCCCAGATCTAATGTGCTATTTTAGATTCATTAGCTGTATTTTATTAGAAATGAATCAGTCAAAACAGTACTGAATATATAGCAGATAGAAGGCAGATATTAGGAACATGGAGCAGCACAATTCCAGGGAGTACCATTCACATAGCTTCAACATAGTGTCCACAGGAATGTACTTGCCCTGTACTTGACATGACAGCCCTGTACCTGCCTTTTGCTACCAGTACTTACGTTCTTCCATGTCTACATCCAACTTCTAAATCAGCATCAGCTACAAGTCTTTTATTCGTGTATTTTTATCTGTGTCAGCTCACCAGGATGTAATTACCTGGATAAACTCACTGTCCAGAACTCTCCCCAGCCTTGTGCATCAGATTTCCATTGTAATTCCACTTCTCCTTTGTTTGCTCTTCCTGCTTAAAAAAAGCTTTTATGATTTTCTCATTTTTTTCATTTCTACTATCCTTGTGCAAAAGATGAATATAATCATTTTAATAAAATGAAAGGTAATTCTCTGTAATATAATTTTATGATTAAGATTAGTTTGCAAATTTCTGGAAAACTGGTTTAAGGGTGGCAGAGTTAAAAAGTAATTTGTTTCTACATAGTAACAAACATGCATTCCCCACATTTAACATATTTTTCTTATCACTGGAAGAGAATAAGTGAAATTTTATAACTGTAGTTCTGAATGTTTTGGGCCATTGCTTGCCACCGATAATGTCAAGAAGGATGGTAAAGAGAAGAAAAGGAAAATGCTAACTCAAAAATGTGTCTGCAGTATCAGTTCCAACAGTTTTCACAGTTTATAGCCAAGGAGAAAGACTTTAAATAACCATGAAAACAGACTTAAAATTCATTCTAAAATGATATAAAGTTTATATTTTAGAATCAATAGGATGTTTCCAGTTTTTCCAGATGTTTCACCTTTTCAATTCAGTATCTTAGAGTACTTAGTATAAACACTGACATAGATTGATTGAATTGGGTTTGGATGACAATACTGACATTATGGTAAATATCACGATAAATATTCTGCTAATACATTCTTGGAAGACACTGTTGCTCTTTTTATAGAATAATCCCTTATCCTTTAAAAAATGCCTCATTCATATATTCTTGATATCCTGCCTACATTTCAGCTCTTACATCTGTTTCAGTAAGAATCCATATAGTCTCATGTTTTCAGATTTTTCAAATTCTGTCCTTCCTCTTGATTCCTTTTCTTAAAAGCTTTTCTTTTCTTTATTAAGATTTATATTTTTTTGAAAGGCAGAGTTATATAGGAAAGAAGAGACTGAGAGAGACAGAGATCTTGTATCCACTGGCTCACTCCCTGTATTTCTGCCAGGAACTCCTAGGTCTTCCATGTGGGTGCAGAGGCCCAATGACTTGATCCATCCTCCACCGCTTCCCCAGGCCATAAGCAGGGAGCTGAACTGGAAGTCAGCCAGTATAGAAACTGACACCCATGTATGATGCTGGTGCCACAGGCAGAGGCTTAGCCTCCTACAGCATTCTGCAGGCCCCAGAAAATTCCAAATGCAAGTTTCTGAAGGTGCCCTATGGTAACATTGAAACTTCTTCCTGGAAGAAAGAAAATGCAGAGTAGAACAAAGACAGATCTGTGTGATTTGGCCAGACACAGTGTTTTCTGTTATGGAATCAAAGGAAGCATCTAATGACCTCTAGAAAACAGATATCTGTAACGTAAAATTTCAAAATTACATAGACAAGTTATTTTTACTGTTCCTAACTCTTGTCGAAACAGAATGGAATTAACATTCTTTAGATATGTTTGATTTTAAATAATGTTATACTTTCGGCCAACAGCACACGCAAATGACCTAAATTTTTAATATTTTAAAACAATTTTCTGTTACAAGTTTAACAGAGTTGGCTTAATGAAAAACAGAAAAACGAATACCTCGGGAGACCATCCTTGTATATGCTTATACTATAAAAAGCTCTTTTTGCACTCACTCCTCCAGCAAATGACTCCCAAGATTGCCTACCGGGGCGACTACATTGACAAAGGGGAGTTCAAGGTGTCAAACTGCATGAAAAGACAAAAGAAATCTTTACCACCCAAAAGTCACATCAAGAAATTTAAGAATTCATTTCTGAAATGTCAGTGATAACACCTGGCATCTTATCTCTGATGTCCAATGGAGGATGCGGACAGCGTAATGCCAGCAGAACACCATCAGAATTCTGTTCTTCACCCCAGGCTGGGAAGGAGCCTGCCCTGGCTTTACTGTCAGAGCTTCCTGCCTATCAGAACTTGAAATCTATATTCAAAACCAAGTCTGTATCTAAAACATACAATACTTCTACTCCAAATGTTACCATACAGTTTTGTTGCTATCTTTCCAATTAAAGATTAGCATGTTTTTTGACTGGTCCTCAGCTGAAAGTTCAATTAGTAAGCAGGTAAGATAAATTATCAGCCTCTCTCTTGCAATCTGCATCTCTGCATTCATTTCCCCATATGCACTAAATAACTTTATGTATTATTATGCTAATTATTTTGATGATAAACATTCTTCCGAGTCATGATGATTTGTGTGCAGTAAGATTTGCTTTGTTAGGACAATAGTCTTAGCATTTTCAATACAGCTCAAAATCGGGTAAGTTTCTGCCTTCTGTCATCTTAATTTTGCCCAAATATAGTTTTGTCTTAATCCACAACTCTACCTTAAAATGATCCTTAGGGCCTAGCGTGGTAGCGTAGCGGCTAAAGTCCTCACCTTGAACCTGCCGGGATCCCATATGGGTGCCAGTTCGTGTTCCGGTGGCCCTACTTCCCATCCAGCTCCCTGCCTGTGGTCTGGGAAAACTGTCAAGGACAACCCAAATTCTTGGGATCTTGCACCCACATGGGAGACCCAGAAGAAGCTCCTGGCTCCTGGCTTCAGATCGGCTCAGCTCCAGGCGTTGCAGCCACTTGGGGACAGAAGATCTTCCACTCTGTCTTTCCTCCGCTCTGTATATTTGACTTTCTAACAAAAATAAATAAATCTTTTTTTTTAAATGGACCTCAAATATGCTGGGGGAAACTCGAGGCATCCTGTAACTGTAAGCCTTGAAGAGCACACTTCCAGCCAGTTCTGGTGTGTTTGAAACCCTGAGCACTGACGTGATGTGTTTGGTGGACACTATGAGTTCAGCAGACGTGCAGGAACAGACCATGGGAACAGCCTGGCTGAGAGGGCTGAAGCATGAAAGGAAAGGCAGCACACCACTGCCTTCTTATTCCCAGCCTGCTTTGACAGTCTAGGGAAATTACTGTTGATTTGTCCAGACTTTATCAAGTACAGGAAAACTTCACATTTCAGACTATTTATTTTAATTTAGTAAACTATTTTCCCTGGGATATGCCAAACCTAATTTCCTTATTAGGCATACGACAGCAATTGCCCATACTCTGTTGCAGCTTTGCATGTAACTCTAAACAAACACTGATGGGAGAGAACAATGGCTTCAGATGGTTTTGCAATTGTGTATGTTAAGAATAATTCACCTTTCCAAATCGAAATTTGGAAGCTCTGCATAAATGAATTTTTGCTTTCAGAGCAAGAATATAATTTGCCTTCATTATTAACAGAATTTCACACAATTCATCAAATGAAAGGATTAAAATCATTCCAATATTAAAACAAAAACAAAGTCCTCTCATGTTCTCACCTTTATTACAGTATTTACTTACTCAGATTCAGTAATAACTCGTATATGTCACAAATTTGCCTTGAAGTTACACATAAATACACTTAAGACAGATCTACCTTACAGATAACCTCACCAACTGCACACCACTACAGCACTCAATACAAACAACAAAAATCACACAGAGGAGCATCTGTCGATTTTTTTTCCTTGGTGCTTATTTTTAGATTTAAAAACTGCATTCGGGCCCAGCACAGTAGCCTAGTGGCTTAATTCCTCACATAGCATGTGCCAAGAGCCTTTATGGGCACTAGTTTGTGTCCTGGCTGCTCCACTTCCCATCCAGCTCCCTGCTTGTGACCTGGGAAGGCAGTCAAGGACAGCCCAAAGCCTTGGGACCCTGTACCTGAGGGGGGTACCCAGAAGAAGTTCCTGCCTCCTGACTTCAGATTGGCTCAGCTCCAGCTGCTGCGGCCACCTGGGCAGTGAATCAACGAACTTCCTGTCTCTCCTCCTTCCTGTAAATCTGCCTTTCAAATAAAAATAAATAAGTCTTTTTAAAAAAACTGCATTAAATTTGTCTTTGAGATAAGAGAAGCACTACTACATTTTATAGCTGCCTTCATCTGTTTGGAATGGTTTCAGTTACTATGAATAACATAACCTTTACACGTGCTGGAAGGACCCAATAACACTTGGAATTCACTCCTCATGGAGGGCTCAACAGCAAGCATATTGAGTAGCCACTGTATTATCTTACTGCTAGGAACAATTCTGCTTAGGTAATTACCTGTATGTCCCAGCTTACAAATGCCACTTAGTGATGAAGATATATCCAAAAGTATCCTCTGGTTGCACTTACAGCAGGATGCGAGCAGCATTGAAGATCCAGTCCCCGCCCTCTGGTTATCAATACGCACTGAGGCGGATGAAACGGCTTGGTGATCCCAATCTTTGGAAGAAGGAAGGGCATGCTTTATCATAGAACCGCCAGGAAACCCACAAGCTCAGAGGGCAGGCTTTGAAGACTAAACATTTATTTAAAGGTAGAGTTATCATTAGCAAGTCTTAGGGAAACAGGAATGCAATCAGAATCACTCAATTTATTATTTATTACAAAGTAAAGTTCATTAAATCATTTCTCTTTCAGGAAAAAATATCTTTAAACTTGTATGTTTGAAATGTTCTTTTTGAAAAGAACATACAAAACAGATTTTTGCAAAAATAAACCAGTTTCAAATACACTTGTTTATCTTCCTTTTCCCTGCTTCCAGGGAGTCCTCCACGTGCTGCTTTTTAAAGCAGGACAAATTCTTCTGTGCTCAAGCGTTTGAATCTTTTCTTTTCATCCTCGGAGAAAAGGTCTTCCTCCCTGGCTGTAGTGGATGTAAAATCATAGTCTCTGGAATGACCATTTACAAAAGTAAATAAGGGATATTTCTCCTTAGAAGACATTTTCAGCATCTGTAACAAGGAAGTACAAAAGAATCCTTATTGCATTTAATAGTGCGCATCAGGTTCCTATCACCAAATGTAACGTTTTAGTGCTGAATCTCCCATGAGCTGCTCCGTTCACATTCATCGAGGGTTATCGTTTGAATGCTCTGGCTAAGACTCATAAGTTGATTAGTATCGGAGAGCTTACTGTAAGTAAGTACATGCTTCTACATTAGGATTAGATTATGAGAAACTAAGTACCTATTCACTCATCTCCCCCTGCTGCCACAACGGCCAACAAGTGAGTCACCTGACCTGTTTTGAAGGTATACTGAAGAAATAAGTTGTGATTTATCTTATTTTGGTTGTAAGATAATGCAGCAAAATAGCATCACTGAATATGGTAAACTATTGTGAAAGTCTATTTGGTAACCCAATACAGAAACAAAGCCATTTTGGTCCATTTTGACCTCAGTTCTGCAATTTACCTTGGTAATGACCTTGTACAAATCACTCCACCTAAGTAAAATCAACAAAACATGGCAAAATACAACTAATCTTCCTGCCATGGAGGATTATTAAGATCAAAAACAAAAATATAAAGTCATTTTAAGAATTAAACTTAATCTTTCCAGGTACTTATACATTTTAAAGTATCTTGACCAAAATTTCTTCAGTATATGAACAGGAATGTTCTGTTCTCATACACTGTAATCCACACTGTATATACTGCCTTCTAATGTTGTATCACATATAAAAAAAGCAACAATCATTTTGTGGAGATAGCCACAACTTTATAAGCTATAAATTTTGCATTCACAAATATTCTAAACAAACTTAAATCATTTTGCCAATTATTTTTAAAATTTTAAATGATTTTCATAAAAAGTGAATGAAAACTTTGAATGATGTTTTGGTAAAACCAACTTTTTCGTTAGTAATTAGAACCATGAACAAAAGACTCTAAAAGAATGTGTTGGTTACAGAGAATGCTCAAAAAAATCAACAGATCATTAATTATAAACAGTTAAATATAATTTGTTTTTAACAGTTAAGTCCACAGACCCAACTAAATTCTCCCAAATGTTGACATTCAAGAGAAAGACCAACAGAGATTTACACATTACATTTACAGATTCTCTTGAAGGTAGCTAAAATGGGTAGGCCTAGCATAAGGGTAGCATAAGTCTAAAACATTTCAACAAGACAATTACTATGAAATCCATATTGTTTAACTGCATAAAAACAAATCATTCAAAAAACTTACAAATCCAAATGTGATAAAAATCAGATCTGATCATTCAAATTGTGCTTCTAATTTACATACTGCTTAAATTGATTTACATCCTATTAAAAAAAAAAGGGGCAGAGGGAGAAGGGCAACAATGTGAAAAACAGAGGGCTGGCACCTTCCACTGCCAGCCAACAGCTGGCATACAGTTCAAAACTGTTTGCCATTTTATATTCATTTGATGTCACCTGTAAAAGTGCAACATCTAATGGGTAGGTACTCACCTTTTACCATTTTCAAATCATCATAAAGGGGCTAACATTATCATTGCTTCGTCCTCTCTTTCAAGATCAAGAAAGAAGTCACCGGTAGTTTATTAGCTTAGCACACTAAGCTGTTCAACAACAGAAGACTCAAATTCATGCCCAGGAAAAGTCATAAAACACACCTAAGTTTCACAACTCTTCTTGCAGTATAAATCCCCCTTATGTACAATATTCATTGACTCAGCTTGAGAATTTTGACTTCTACAAGTTTTCTGATTTATTTTGCTTTTAAATGTTTATATACTGTTTATGTATTTAAATACAGTGCCATAGAGAGATCTTTCAGTTGATGCCTCATTCACCAAATGCACAAAATAGCCAAAACCAGAAGCCAGGTAGTCCACGTGGATCTTCAACAGGGATGGCAGGTCAGACCTGGACATATGTGGCCTCACAGAGAGCTGGGCTGCACGAGGCAGGACTCAATCCCTGGCCCTCTGATATGGAATGCAGGCATCCCAAGCTTCGGTTTAACGCACTGTACCACATTCACCAACCCATTTTAAAATAATCTTTAAAGATTATCAAATGAGAGCCTGGTGCAGTGGCCTTCTGGCTAAAGTCTTCGCCTTGAACACGCCAGGATCCCATATGAGCGCAGGTTCTAATCGCAGCAGCCCCACTTCCCATCCAGCTCATTGCTTGAGACCTGGGAAAGCAGCCGAGGACGGCCCAAGGCCTTGGTGCCTAGCACCCATGTGGGAGACCTGGAGGAAGTTCCTGGCTCCTGGCTCCGGATCAGCACAGCACCAGCTGTTGCAGCACTTAGGGAGTGAAGCAGCAGAGAGAAGATCTTCCTCTCTGTCTCTCCTCCTCTCTATATATCTGACTTTGCAATAAAAATAAATAAATCTAAAAAAAAAAGATTATCAAATGAAACATGTTAGCATTTACTCTGATGACTTAAAAGCTATGTTGTCTCAGGATATCCTTTAGAAGTAGGTAAATGATAAATGTTGCAGTTTCAAGCAGTGGAATATTATTCAGTCTTATTAAAAAAAGGGGGGGGGGCGGCAGGCCCGGCACGTAAGCCTTGTGGCTAAAGTCCTCCTCGCCTTACATGCACCAGGATCCCATATGGGTGGTGTTTTGTTTTTTTAAGGTTGCAATAATGTGTATTATTTATTCAGTTTTATTTTAAAAAGCTTAGTACACAGTTGTAATTATCATGTGATCTTCAATAAGGTAGATGCAGAGTAGTCTGAAGGTCTACTGCAGCAGTTTAATGCACTGTGTGCTGAAATTCCCCCAGAAGTTGAGGTTTCAGGATCAAAGGTTATTTTATAAGATACCTCAACAAAATTTCACCCCACTTTCTGTAATAACAAAAAAGAGTTTCCTGAATCTGGTACTTTTCAAATGCTGTGACACCAGTGAAAACTGGTTGCTGCTTTTAGAACCATCTTGTTTGGAGAAAAGGATCCTTTGTTTGACCACCTGTTGCCACGCCTTACACAGGAAGGGTCTGTAGTCCACCTCTGCCTCACAGGGCCCTTTGAAGGCGGGCGGCAGCTCTTCCCGGCTCCTCCACCTCCCATCCAGCTCCCTGCTTGTGGCCAGGGAAAGCGGTGGAGGACGGCCCAAAGCCTGGGGACCTGCACCTGCGTGGGATATATGGAAGAAGCTCCTGGTTTCAGATCAGCTCAGTTCCAGCTGTAGCAGCTTCCGAGGTGTCAAGCAGCAACAGATCTTTCTCTGTCACTTTTTCTCTCTGTGAACCTGACTTTCCAATAAATAAATATACTTTTTAAATGCCACTAAGAACACCTACATCTCATATAAAAGTGCCTATGTTTGAGTCCTGAATCTACTTCTGATTGTGGTTTCCTACTAACAGGTACCCTAGGAAACAGCTGGTTGGGGACCCGGATTAACTTCTAGTCTTCCCTGCTTGGTCTGGATGCTGTGGACATCCAGAGAGTGAACTAATAGACAGCAGATCTGTTTCTCCTCACCACCAACCCACTTTTCAAATAAATACTTAATAAAATGAAAGTTTAAAAACAAAGGGACAAAAGCCAAAGCTTTTGTTGATTAGAATATGAAACCCCAATGACTAAAAGTGCCTTTCAAATACTTGTTCACAGCTCTGAGTACCATATTAAGAATGCTTTCTTTTTCAAAGAATAACTATTAACTTGATTCTGAAAACTTTTATAAAAAACAGTATAGTATCCTTTACAAGAATTGCTACATGGTCAAAACCTTTAAAGTCCTTTCATGATGGATAGTATAAAATAGACATGAAAAGGGGCCAGCATTGTAGCACAGCTGGCTAAGCCACTAAGTGTGTCACACACATCCCATAGGAGTACAAGTTTGAATCTTGGCTGCTCACTTCCAATTCAGCTCCATGCTAATGCATTTGGGAAGGCAGTGCAGAAAGGCCTAAGTGCTTGGGCCCTTTCCACTCATAAGGGAGACCCAGATGAAACTACTGGCTACACACTAGCAGGTGTATTCCATAGGCAGGAAATGGCATAAGTTTTCTCTGAGCATGCAAGACAATCCTAGAGAAAAGACCATCACTTATTAACATCTAGAGATAATCCAATGAGAACAAAGCTCCTTACATAATTATCCTACTATGAGAGTCACCAGCTAAAGGGCCATGCCCAAACATGAGCTTCTGCTCAACTTTGTAGTGACCCACTCTGAAACACAAACAGACACAGAAGACCAACAGTCACGTGGGGAGAAGCAGCCAATGGAAAATCAGAGCAATCAAAAGAAAAAACAAAAAAACATGCAGAGTAAGAGCCTCAAAGGAAAGATGGAAAGATAGACAGCAAAAGAAAGAAACCCTCAACATTACTAAGATTAATTTCCACAGGAAAAAAATATAGCCATTTAAAAAAGCAAGAACCCTATAGAACAGAACTAATAGAAAAATAAAAATAATTCCTTGAAATGTAAGAACAATAAGAGAATTAGAAGATAAAAGTAGAAGAAACTTCTCAATGCAAACACATAGAGATATGGAAAACAGACGGGCAAATGAAAGAAAGAATTTTTAAAGAGTTCAACCATGGCACAATGAGTTATGGAAAAAAAGAACACTAAAACCAAAAGAGGACTTTTTAAACTTCAAGATAACTTCCCCTAACAGAAGTAAATAGGAAAATGAGTGAAAAGGGCACAGACTAAGACACGCAAGCAAGCTTCAGAATAATGAGGATAACTAACTTTATTTAGTGTTTCTATAAGCAAGGTTTCTACTGAGTCTTTAATTTCATCCTGATGCCACAGAAAGAGGTAGCAATCATTTTCATTCGATAAGAAAATGGATACCAGAGAGCCCGTGCAGGGTGCCCATGGATACAAAGCAATAAACAAGTAAATAGAGCTGAAGCCGAAGCTTTCAGATTTAAAAAAAAGAGGGTTTTTTTTTTCCAGAGGAAAAGAATTCAAAATGACATCAAAATTCTTAACTGAAACTAATACAAGAAGGGAGCAGAACAATGTCTCTA